TTGACTGTTCTGCTTGTATCCATACACCCATACATCCAACCTCCCTCCTTCTTAACCTCACACTTGATCAATCAGGGATATTTGTAACCCACCCGATCCCGTCCGTCAAGTCTCTCGTCGGTCTGGAGACTCATCGTCATGAGCGCGACCAACAAAGACACATCTTCCAGTACCACCCCTCAATTCATCGCCGCCCTCGTCACCGGTCTCATCGTCGTCGGTGCTCTAACCGCATTATGGGCAGTTTTACATGGCAAGAAGAACTATAGAAAAGTCTTTCAACCTAGAGTCCTCCTTGCTCCAGAGGCGAAAAGACCTCATGAATTACCTTCCAATCCGATAGGGTTTTGGAAGACTGTGTTGAGGACACCGGATACGGATATCATCATTGCGAATGGTCTCGATGCGTATTTCTTCGTCAGGTGAGTTCTCAGGTCCATGGTACACGCGGTTAATGCTGATGAGAAAGGTTTTTGAAAGTTTTTGGATTACAGATGCTCGTTCCATATGTTGTCTTGACCATTAGCGTATGTGTTGGAGTCTCGTGAGTTCTCATCTCTCATCACTCCACCAAGTCAACGACCCCTGGTGACTACCCAAACTCATGTTGATACTCCTTGACTACCCAACATCCTTTGTTTCTCGGCCTGTTGCCCAAAGGACCCAACACTGTGTCGATCATCTGACCGTTGCTTACCTTCAGGGCGGCGAAACCCAATGCTGGCCAGTCAGGTCTGAACAAACTCACTTTCGGTAACGTTGCTCTCGACAAGCAAGTCCGACATGTCGCCCATTTCGTCGTTTCCGTGGTCCTCATCTGTACGTCATTCATACAGATAAACCAATCACGCACTGATCACCAGTTTGGACCATGTTCCTCATCTGGAGAGAATACAACCACTACGTCGAGATGCGTCAGCAATGGATGACGTCGCCTCAACATCTCACCCTCGCTCGTTCCCGTACCGTGGCACTCACCAACGTTCCCGACGGTATCAACTCTGAAACCGGCATGAAAGAGCTGGCAGGTACCGTCGCCCAACTCACTGGTCGCAACCAAGCCAATGCTTCCGCATCCCGTATCAGCGATGCTACATATGTCGCTCAACCTCAAAAGGGAGGAGAACTCGGCGCTGCCGGCGGAGTACGATCCGTCTGGCTCACTCGTAAAGTCAAAGAGGTCGAAAAAGTTTGGGAGGAAAGGGATAACGAATGTATGCGATTGGAGGGTGGTGTGGCCAAACTGGTAAAATTAGGCAACAAGAACTATCGCAAAGGTAAAACACCAGAGAAGAAAGGTGTGTTTCTCAGTTGCGTTCCCGTATTCCCTGCTGACACGTAGGCACATACGACGCTGAAAATTCCACACACATGGTCGACCGATTCGTTCTGGCCAAGAAACGTCCCACTTGGAAGCAAGGCCTTCTCGGGTTGATTGGTAAAAAGATGACTCTCGACACGTCCCCGATATACATCAAAGAACACAACGATCTTCTCGCTACCCTCCGTGCCAAGGAGGACGAGCTGCCTCAAGGAAACACCACCTTTGTCCGTTTTGGCTCTCAAGCGGAGGCTCACGCGTTTGCAAAGCTTGCATCAAGTACCCCAGGCAATAAGTTGGTTCAGACTAGTATCGAGGTCGTGCCGGAAGATGTTCAATGGAGCAACATCTCTTTGAATCCGTATGAAAGGAAAGTCAGGACCATGATTTCTTGGGCACTTACCATCGGGCTCATCATGTGAGTGGCTATTTTTCTCCCCCCCGGATTCTCCCCCCTATCTTCTCACACCTCACTTACCCACATACCAATCAGCCTTGGTCACCATGCCGTTCCCCTTCTTTCCCCCCTGTCCCCAGTTGTACCTGGACGATTCAATCTAACATTTCTCTGCTGATCCTCTCGCTGGGGGCTGTGGCTGTCGGCACCCTGCCCTTTTTTCCTATACTGACAGTCAGCGTCTGGGCCCCCATTATCACTTTCGTCGGCATGGTCAGCAACGTCGATTCGCTGTGTCAAAAAGCCTCTTGGTTGGCATGGCTTTGCACCATTCCTCCGTGAGTCACTCCTCATGATGTTCATCAGAAGACTGATGACAGCGCCGTATTGGGTATCATCAAGGGTATCTTGCCCCCTGTCTTGTTCGCTGTGGTCTTTATGGTTTTGCCTATCATATTGAGGATTTTCATCCGACTTCAAGGCGAAGTCCGTAAGAGGTTAGTACCTCTCTTGTGCTCCCTGCATTCTCCCATTCTGTCAGCCCTTTCATCCGCGGGTCACCCTTCATTCGCCCGTTATGAACCATTGAAGTATCTGCCTTCCGACTGCTACCTCCTTCGTTACAACGCCGGGGCAAGCTTTCTGACGCCTCAGCGATATCGACCTGAAACTCTTCTCTCGATTCTGGCTGTTCCAAGTCATCCACGGGTTCCTTATCATCACCCTCGCCTCTGGTCTCATCAACTCGCTCAGTCATTTGGGTAACACCGCTAACTCCGTCCCTACACTTTTGGCCCAAAACCTTCCCGGTGCATCCGTCTTCTTCCTCACCTTCTTCCTCACTGCCACTTTCTCATCCGCTGCTCAATCGTACTCTCGAGTCAAGCCGTTTGTCTTTTACCTCCTTCGAGGTATCTTGGCCGGTGGCACTCCCAGGAAGTTTTACTTTAGCGAGGTGGGTTATTTCCTGACTACACATATCTTCACTAGTCCAGTTGACACTGACACTCAACCTTTGCACGTTCGGAAACCCATCTGTCAATTTGTCTGACCAGCGCACTGATGTTCAGTACAAAATGGGATCCTTCGCCTGGGGAACTGCTTGGCCTCCAGTCTGTCTCCTCGTCTGTCTTACTGTTGTCTACTCTGTCATACAACCAATCATGTGTGTATTGGCCATTGTCGCTTTCGCTCTCATGTACGCCGCATGGTCTTACATTCTCATGTGGACCGCCGATCAGCCCGACGCTCTCGAGACAGGAGGACAATATTACATCAAGGCTTTGCGAACGGTCTTTGTTTCGCTATACATTGAGGAGATTTGTCTGGCGGGATTGTTCTTCTTGTCCAAGGATCAGAACAACAAGCTGCCCAAGTCGGCTACTGCATGTGGGGCCCTCATGGTGAGTAGCAATCGTCCAACTTGCGCTGTCCTTCTCGCGTTCTGCTCTTTCACACCCCCCTCTTGTGCACATCTCAGGTCCATTTCATCAATTTGACTCACCCCCCGACCTCTGCTAACGACCAGATCGTCATGATCGTTCTCACCGCTCTCTTCCAAGCTTACATTGACTGGCGTGCCTTCCCCAAGTCGTACCTCTACTACGTTCACGCCTCAACTTCTCGCACAGCCACCGAATCCAAGCTCGGTGCCGTTCAAACCGCCACTTCGGAAGAGTACGATACCGCTGGCCCGGAATACGGCAACACTTCTGGTTTCCATGAACGCGCCTTTGACCATCCGGCATTGTGGAAGAAACAACCCTGTGTTTGGATCGCCAATGACCCATTGGGCATTGGCAAGTTTGAAGCCGAGAGGATCAACGAAGTGGGCGTGGAGGCGAGTACGGCATTTGCAAGCATGGATGACAAGGGGAAATTGCACGTGGAGAGGAGCCCTCCTGATGAAGCCTGGTACGGTGGATTCACCTCGTGAGTGAGGGATGGGTTGGTTGGATGTACTGTATATACACACGATTAGGAGAGATCTTTGGTGGGTTGGTTAATATATACCGGTTTTGTGGAGATGCATAATGTGATGTTGAGCAATGGATCTTGTCTAATCATCTCTATATACCCACTGTTTCTTCCTTTGAGCCTTCATGTTCAGATAAACATTCTTCATTCTCTCTTCCTCTTCTGCTCGTCTCTTCTCCCCTTCTCTCTGACCCAGGGGAATTTGTCCATGAGGGACACAACCGAGATGATCACATGTTTCTTGTTGTGTTTCGAGCCAGTGGATCAGATGACCGGAAAGGGAAAAGATGGCATTACCAAGATTTGGATAATTGAGAAAGATGTATGGGATGTGGTGACGAGTATGAGTATTCCGATGTGAAACTTGATTTGAAGTTTGGTCAGGGAAATTTCCTTCGAGAGGATGTTGTTGGTTCAATGGCGGTTGATCCGTGTGATGGTGAGAGTTTGTTAGATGGAAGGAAGAAGGTAAAGGTAGAGTACGGAAATATGACTGATTTGTCAATAAATAATTCTTCCTTCTATCCTTTCATACCAGTGAAATTAGAACTTGTTTTCGTGATTTCTTCAACAATCAAACAGCCTCATTATTCTCCTTTTTGTGACTTCCTTGAATCCTGAGATTATGTCATCGGGGATCACGAAACTTTCATCACCTTGTGTATTCTCATCAACCGTCCATACTCTACTCATACTGAATTCTCTTGTGGTGGGATTTTTGGCAATGAATCGTCCACACTACGTCTTCCTATGACTTCCTCTTCACCGACTCTACACGTTGTGTCCTCCTGAGATTTATGTTTTCTTTACTGGAATACTCTATCTTTGTTCAACTTGTATCTTCTCTACTTCCATACTCCATACTCGTGCGTACAAATTGTATTTTCTCTATATCCATACTCCATACTCGTGTGTACAAATTGTATCTTCCTTTCACACTCCATACTCGTACAAATCGTATTTCCTCATACTACTTACAATTCACTCACCAGAAAAGTAGCAAGAAGGAGACAAAACGCAAGAAACGAGTTGGACGTATAGGAGGAAAAGAAACTACCAACCTTTCTCTTATCTTCTTGCCAATGAACATATAACCATTCTTCCATTCCTTCCATCCCTCTTCCTCCATGTTTATATATGATCTGTATCGGCTCTAATCTCTCGGAATATTCTAAACCCCTCTTGATGAAATACCTCCTCCAACGACCTTTGTCAGAAGAAGAAGTATACCAATTAACGTTTTTCTCAGTGAACCATATCCCTCTATTTGGTGGTTTTGTACTTTGTATCAAATCCACTTTTCTTTCTACACCTAACGATGTGAATTGATGTAAACCATTGATTCCCTTCTTGGTTGACCTTGGAAACTCTCTTCCAATGTCTTGTGATGTGTCAGAAAGAGAGGTCGAGTCCGATATGTCCGATTCGAGGGATGAGAAGGAATCTTCCGATTGGAAGGATGAAGAAGATCCGTCCAGATCAATGAAAGGAGAAGTGGTAGATGGAGTAAACATTGAGACTAAGAGTTCTCTCGGGAGAGTAGGAGGTATTCCATGAGAAGGTCGATATGAAGGTGGTAATGTGTATACACCAGAGGGAGAAAATAATTTGACGGGTTGATGTCTTGCCATAGCTTCGAAAGATAAGACGTTGAGTGTAGGATGAGAAAGTACGAAATGAGAATATTCAGATTCTTCTGTAGGGTTAAAGTCACGTTCCATCTTTAGTCGTTTCAACAATCAATACGGAGGAGGTTCTAACATGTCTCCCACTTCACATACGTAACTCCAAATTGGTTGATCAATCTAAATTAAGGCCGAACAGTATGAAGGACATTCTTGGAAGGAAAAAAGTGAAGGATCTCCAAGATATATCCCACGAACCATGACGGACGAATAACAGAGGATATCATTCAACAATTCAAGAGATGACAAAGAGGACAACTTCTTGGGGAAGAACAAATGATATAACAGGCGGATGATGAAAGGGCAGAAGAAAACAAAAACTGACCATTACAACTATCTGGTTTTCCCATATCATTCCATTTCTCATAACTCTTAAAATACCCATATTCCATCATCTTCCCTTCCACTTCTTTCGAATTCTTCAAAAATGTCATATGACCTCTCATGAAGATCAATTGAGGTCCAGGACCGAGTTGATCGGTAGGTATTAGAATCTCGTATTCTTCTGATAGATCATATGGGACTATTTTGTCAGTTTCGTCATTCCAAATCACTAAAATTATCTTCTTCTTTGTGAATCAGCCGTCAACTCATTCCCCGTTATCACTATCCGAATCGTGACCGAAGAACTCTCCTTCCGAAACGTTCCCCTTTACCCACGCTTCCATTTTCCGACACGAGTCACGATGGTTACCAGTATCTGAAGACTGGGTAATTGGACGTGGAGATGAGAAAGGTGAAAAAGGTCTTGTCTAGGAGGGGAGATGTCCAAACAACAGGGATTGCTTTTGAGGGACAGAAAGGCATTTTGAAGAGAGGTGAAGATGAATGTATGACCCACATGTTCGAGCGAAACTGATATCAGTGATTTCTTTCGATTTTTTGGAAGTATACGACTCACTCTCCTAAAAAGATATCAACGTCACAGAATCCCCACCAGACGGTGGAAGGGGATATATACTTTTGGAATACCCATCCTCTCAAGATAGGATATACAGCTTGGGGCATCTATTTATCAGATGTGACATAATTTCCGGAACATGACACAAAGCTGTCAACAACATGAATTTATCAGTTGAGAAGGTCTGAGTTAGGGAGAGGGGAAGTATTCACCGGCATGGATCCTAGATATCTCATATCTTCCAACATCGTCTTACGCCGATGATGAGTGCATCCTCCCCAATGTCGGCAGAAATAATCAACATGAGTCAACCAAACTATTCATAAGCTTTTGTTTTCAACCTCTTGAATCTACTACCACCCTGAAGCTTCTTAGCACCTAAGGCATGTTCATCATATCACCAAACATGTCAAGGTCTCAGACTAGGGACAATTCAGAGAGTACAGACCAGAACTTACATGCTTTCTCTGATAAACAAACATGTTTGAGATTACTTGGAGCTCCTAATTTCTTCAAATCCGAACATCCATCCCGTTGAACAAACACCAACTCCACGCGATTTTGGTATCTCAAACTATCGAAAAAATAAGGTAGAGTGGGCGGTAAGTTTACTCCTTTGAAAACCACTATCAAAGTTATCAATGGTAGAGTCGATTGGTCCTGCTCTATCGAAGGAGTTATGAGATGAGGTCGGATACTGAAACGCCAGAGAAGAGTGAGACAAGCAGCTAAAATAAGGAAGAAGAATCGTTTCCGAGCTCGGAACGGTTTCATCGTTCAGGAAATATGAACGCTTGTTGAAGTAGGGTCATGGAGTGAGAGATGACCTTTCCATCCATAGACCTATGAACGATGTGACATGTCAAGGTTGATGTGCCAAGACATCTAACTTTATGTCGACCATCATCCTCGGCCATCCCCGTTATCTCAAATCCGGTGATCCCGGTGCCAGTGACTAACCACTGGGGCGATCAGTAGATCTATTTACACTTCGTACATATCCTACAACCCCTGTAAGAAACACACGTAGAGCAAGACTTGAAGGCATACAGTCTCATCTGGACCTCAATGCATTGGATCTTTATCTTAGAACCTGGCCACTACACTTCTGCTCTACTCAGAAGATGTTGTTAGATATCCATGTCAGATGCCTCAGACATTCCGTCAATACTGTCCAACCCGTCATCTCCCCTTGTTAGAACAATCGCACCATTGATGATAGAACATCGTTTCTTCTTCACTGCCTCACGCATCTCGTTCCAATTCACAGATAACACCAGATCCTCAACATTTGTTGATGTGGTCTCACGGTTCAACTCCTTTTGTAATCTAGCAGCCAGAGTGTGCGAGATATCATCAGGTTCCCACCCTTCCAAGGCGTCAACACGAATTGTACTCTGGATGAACTGTTGGATTGTTTTCAATATTTCAGGTTTAAACTCCGAATCTATCATACTTGGAAAGTAATTGATTTCCAATTGTAGCTGGGACCTTGAAGCTCCATATTTCCTTTGAATACAACTTGCGATTTGAGACTGACGGAATTTTGACCAACCTTTGGTTCGTAGACAATTCGACACAACTCTACCAGTCATCATACTCTGTTCATCTTGTGGGATCCATCTTCCAGTGATAACTATTACACTTCTAAGAGTTTCACTTTCTGAATCAAAAACATCTGGTATCATACGACAACTCACCCCTGGAGTTTTGTTTAAAAAGAGCTTTTCACTGCAGTTTGAGAAGAAGAACAGGTCTCCATCACATCCATCATTCACCAGTGTAGACTCCGTGTCCGACTCATCAAACCCGCTTTGATATTCAGGTGAATCAACTGATACCAATTTCAGTGATGAATCTTCTAATATCAATCGTCCTCTTCCATTGTAGAGTGTCTTCTGGAGTTCTAATGTAGTCACAACTGTGCAACGAAGCCTTGGGAAATAAAGACTTATCTCCTCTCCTACTCGCTTCAGTGAGTAGTGCCGGGAGAACATGACCTCGCCAAGTATACGCATACAGGTTGTCTCAACATGAGACAGATTGTGAGGAGATTTTGAGTCGCTTTGTGGACAATAAAGCAACTGTATATCGGATCGGAAACACGGATCACCCCAACCAGAAGCTACGATATGGGAAGTGAGCACAAGGACATCTTCCCCGGGAGTACCGGTGAAACCGTTGGGTACATGATGAAAACGAATCCCGGGGATATTGGAAGAAAAAGCGTTTTGTTCGAAGGTTCCAAAATCAAGGACCCCATAGTCAGAAGAATGTATATCCTGAGTGATTTGGTCTACCCTCCCCTCTTCCCCTGGATCGTGCGTTTCTTCGGTTGCTCCGAAGATGAGTGAAGTTGTTGAGGGCCACGCCGGACACTTCCATGGACGGTCAACTTGTTCCTCCTTGTTTAACGAGTCGAGGGTCCAGTTGATAGTGTCATAGCTGTCATGGTGTGACTTTTCTACACCTAGACCATCATTATCACACCAAATGGGTGTTTGGAGTGTCTTAGACGATGCGGACATCGAGGAATCTATTCTAAGGGTGTAGAGATGTATCGATAGAGTCGACAGATGATAGTGGGGAATAAGGAGGTAAGAGAGATGTTTAAAGGGTCGGAATCTGAAGGTGAGATTGAATTCCCATTCAGTATATCGGAAATCAAAATCTGAGGGGAGAAGGCTACGGATCTTGCCAATGTGGTACAGTATCCGTGCGTCTCAACTTTCCCTCGATCCACGTCCCATTTTCCCGGATCTGGGATAGGACCTGTAGCCTACCTTCTTGACTACATTCCTCAAATGGATCACTTCATTCAATCAGAGATCTCAAATGAACCATTTCAATCAAGTGGAAAATTTCATCCAATCTATCTTGTGAAAGGAAGGAGGATATCAGAATTACAAATTAAAGTGATATGATTGGAACAAGAGAAAGAGATCATTGCCGCCGACACCCACGTTCCCGGATCTTCAATCTTTGAAGTCTTATGTAGTCCCCGATTGAGACGATCGTTCGTCCTTCTCTTGTGGTGAGGAAGTGAGTGATTTGGTATGAAATTGGCAATTTGACAGAGTTATCAACGAATTGGCCGCTAATCCCCATCTATGCTCACACACTATTTGCACATTTCACTCTCATTGTGATTCGTAGTGATCGGGTTCCACTTGACATGTGGAAAAGGTAAGATATATCCCGACTTCTTAGAATACAACACTGGCGTAGAGATATCCCCCAGTTTGGGAAAAGATCATGACACTCCAGGTAAGTGTCGGGTCTCATACGGCATCTGACGGCATGGACAACAATGCACAGTAGGAGTAACACATGAATAGGCCAGTCTCACTTGTACACATTTTGGTCACGGGGTAGAAAGAAAGAGAGAACGAATGACTCTCTACTGTCAGGCTCAGGAATACCAGGCTACAGGAGTGTAGTGCCAGGACCAGACCTTTTAGATAGTCTGTGCTTCACTTGTGATATGGCTCCAGTGGCCTTGCAGGGAACAAATCCATTTATGTAGAAGATCTAACAGACCTGGAAAGTTCTTGAGAGTGGGGAGGGGAATACTAAAGAACACAAAGTACGTTTGACAAGGGGACTATGGAAATAGACTGCAACTATATGGGAAGAGGGGAACGGGGTGATACCGATGCAGTGAAGTAGTAAAGATGGAAATGGATATGGGGTAGAAGAGCGAAGTAAGACAGAGATCGATATGAGACACGGGGATTGAGGAAAAGTATCATGTGGTGTGAGAAAATGAAATAGGGGTAGTAGGAGAGGACACGGTAATGGAAAAGAAGTACGACTACTACATTCCTGTAACCAGATACCCGTGATCCTGACAGTAAGAGACGCGGTAATGGGAAAAAGTACAACACACTCCAGTCACCAGGTACCCAGGTAGTCTTGATCCTGACATGTGCCAAGACATCTCACTCTGTGTACTCATCCATCCATCCTCGGCCATCTCTATCATCGTCCGGTGATCCCGGTGCTGGTGACTGACCACTGGGGCGATTAGACGAGCTACACTACGAGTACGAGTACCAATATTTGGTGTTCCCTAACTTTTTCTAACAAACACACATACAATAAGGGACGGCTCTCAAGTAATCTGGGGGGAATGGATTCACACTTCCTCCTGTCTGACTGCATTGAATGCTAGAGGAACATATAATCAATTCTCAGTTCTACTTGAAATGTTACTGTCAGATCTCACCGTCAGATTTGGCATCCATTCCATCAGTTTCCTACCCATCAAGTCCTCGAGATACGTCAACCCCCTCTGGGGTGACCCAACAAAAGCCACTTTCTTCAGCTGTAACCATCGTGAACCAGTCCGCGGGTACGACCATATCCTGGGGACTGGTCAATGACCTCTCGTCGTTCAACTCCTTCTGCATTTTGCTGGCCAATTTGCAGGACATTTCATCAGGGTTACATCCCTCCAAATCAGTTGGAGACATAACAGCCCAGACCAAGGCATGAATCTTTGCGACTTTTAGTGGATCGAGCGGCAAGCTGGATTCCGTAAAAGTATTGATCTCGAACCGTAGATATGACCTTGGATCATTTCCATTAATACTCTGGATATCACTATCAACTCGGAACCTTTGTAATCTTTTCCAACCATTGGTCTGTAAACAGTCGTTCACAGACTTATTTGTCATCATGCCCTCTCCTTCTTGCGGTTCCCATGTTCCACTGATTATTGTTACACTTTGAAGATTTTTGACATCTGACTTCAAAGCACCTGGTATCAAACGACAACTTACTCCTGGGGTTCCGTTTGAATAAAGCCTAATATCACACTTTGGGAAGGAGATTTTCCCAAATGTCATGTCCCAACCTCCAAAATCGGTATGAGGTTGGGTTGGGTCAGCAGAGATCCATTTCATGGAAGTATCATTTATCACTAATCGTCCTTGCCCATGGTAGAGAGTGTTCTTGAGTTTTAAAACACCTATGACTGCGTGATCAATGCGTAAGGAATCACTTACTGCCTCTGCAACTCGCTTCAGTGAGTAGTGACGGGAGAACATCACTTCACAGAGCTTTTGCATGCAGACATCATAGACTTTGGTAGGATCAAGAGGAGAGGTAACTTGCGTACAATAAATCAGGGTGATCTCTTGTCGAAAACGGGGATCACCTTTACCATTGGCGGCTGTCCAACTGCTGAGCAATAACACACTTTTCCCGGGATCACCTGTGAGAATGTCGGGCACATGATGGAAGTGGACGCCGGGCTGATCGGTAGATAAATCGACTACTTGATTGCCAGTCCGGAAATCGAGGATACCATAGTCGAACGAGTTCGAACCCTTGAACTCTTCCTCTTCCATTGACCCAACTGTACCTGCCGTTGACGGATATGCTATCGACATCTCTTCCTGGGGAAGAGAAATTGGATGGGGTTTCTCAGTCTGGATGGGTGGTCGGGGCAGGATCAACGATGACATTGAGGACTCTATTTGGTGCCCAGAAAGGTGAGTTGATAGTGTTTATGGATGACAGTGGGGAATGAGAAGGTAACAAAGAGGTTCCAAAAAATTGGTATATGAAGCTGAATTCGAATCTTACTGACTTCTTTGGGTATCAAATTTAAAGGGAGAAGGCCATGAAGATGGCTACGGATCTTATCAATGTGGTATCCGTGCGTGACCGCCTATCGTCGACTTACCCTCTCACGTAACTTGGGACATGGCTTGGAGCCTGCCTTCCTAGCTACATGTTCAACTAAATTATCTCAATCAAGTGGATATTTCATCAATTAGTCTTTGAAAGGAAGGAGATCATATCAGTATAGAAAAGAAAAATCAAGGTCTAAACTAGAGATTGGAAGATGAGAAAGCACAGCATTCCGGCTGAAATCCAACTCCCCGCATCTTTGTGTTTCAAAGTCTTGACTCCGGGTGAAACAATCACTTCTCCTACTGTATCTACACTTGAGCTGTGGTACATAACTTCAGGAGGTTTGTATGACACAAACAACTTATCAAAGATATCAATGACCGTGATATAAGCTCATACACAACCCGCCCCTCTACCTCTAATTGTTGATTCCTTGTAGGCAATTCCACCATGATACCTGTAAAAAAAACAGAATTCGACGTTAGATGTTAATACAACGCTTACATATGTCAGACAAGGCCAGTCTCGGAAAAGAAATGAGACACATAGGGAAGTTTCTCGTTTTATGATCATACCTACGTCCACACAGACTGGCACGTAAGGAGGTTCCAGGTTGTCCAGGATCACGACTACACAGGACGGGTTCTTTAGAGTAGTACTCCCTATTTCCCGTTCCCGTCCCGTCTTACTTTTCCCGCTACGGACCACCTTCTTCACCTGCCAATACTTTTTCTCATATCCGTGTCCCTCAATCTTTTCTCCGTCTTCCTTCACTCTTCCACCTCATAATGACTTGTTATACGACATGGACCCTGAGTCAGTCCGGACGGGGGTCCTAGGGCCGGTCCGGGTATCATGTCGATAACCGAATGTACGAAATTGTGACTCATGCTGCCACCTGAACGCGTTCCAACAATTCATCTCGTTCACTCTTCTCTGTCCTAACTTGCGAACTGCTGCTAATTCTTGCTAATTTGTGCTCATTTTTGCTGATGTTTGTGTTGATGAGAGCTCAAGAGTAATTGATGCATACATATAGAGATATACAACAACTTATGTGTCTTCGGAGGGAGGGGTTGCTGCGACAGGGGCACGACGACGCTTACGGGGAGTATCGGGGGCAACAACACCTTCGGGAGCCATATCAGGCAAATGAATCGCCATCAATTGCTCAATATTAGATCTGATATGTTGACATTGATATAAGATAGTTTTCGGTTCCAATTGATACTTATGTGTTGCTAAAAAATTAGCTTTGCAGTTATATTTAAGAACGAAAAGTACTAACTCGCTAATTCAGCCTGGATCTCGATAGCTTTCAATTTCCCTAACTCTTCTCGAATATTTCCTGCAAAGCTCGCTTGATCTAGGATGTATTCCGCTTTTTCGACAAAAGTACAGCGAGCTGTCGTACCCCTCGCAATGCATTCGGTACATGCTCCCGTAGGGAGCTCACCGACGGTAACACAACCGAAGGAACACGTAACTTCGCGAATTTGACGAGTTTGACACAACTGACAGCTAAATGTTCCCATTCTGACATGAGAATTAGGCGATACAGCGTGATTATACGCCTCCCGGTAATTTTTATACTAATTGAGTCAGATAAACACAACTTTGACGAAAATTGACTCGAAAGCACTAACTTTTGACGATTCATTAGGAGAAATTCCAATCCTAGGACCTTTATCTCCAGCTGCAACCCGAAGAACCTCATTACGACCAGTATCAGACCATTTCCGTAGAGGATAAGCAACAATACCATCCCAATCGAATTTGGCGCTCCACTCCGCTAATTATCAGAATCAATTAACCTCTTAACGTTGAAAAAGCAGCAACTAACGTGAATCGGGCTTAGTCGTAACCAGTTGTTTCAAAGTAGCAGGAGGAGTAGGTGGGTTCGACATGATATCTTTTCAAGAAGCTTAAAATTCAAATGTCAGTGTGGTAAAGTAATGTAAGACGTTAAAATTTGAAAAGAGGTGGGGAAGAACTCATGACAACGACCTGGTATATGTGACAACCAGCAACTTGACCATTTCGCTCTCCTTGACAACCAAAGGATACTTACCCTTGACAACGACATGCATACCCTCGTTTTAATGGTTTGAGGACGTAAATTACGTTGATTTACAGACCCTGATTTACACTGTCTCAAGTCTATCGTTTTTAGCACGTCTTGAATACATGAAACCGTAAAACGGATCAAATTGTTGATTCCTGCAGGGACGTTTTCTGAACAACGACGTGGTCCTAATTCCTGCAGGTTATATGTCCGTTGTGAGGTTTCATACTCCTTTGACTGTTCTACAACGCCCTTGGCTACGAGTAAAGAAATTTTAACCACAGTTAGCACTCACGAGCAATAATTGGCAGAAAGTAGCAAGAATGAGCAAAAATTAGCAGGAAATTGCAGAATAAAATTTATGCAAAGGTAATGCTACACGAGAAGATACATTACTGTACAATACTAAACAGATATGAGTTCTTCGGCAGATGCTTTACTCAACCAATGTTGTAAGGCGTCTAAAGATGGATTTGGTAAAGTATGTCTATGTTTATCCCAAACCTTTGCTGCTTCAACATCTTCTATTGCTCTTGCCTCACTTAAACGTCGAACCGCTCGAATAATGCTAATACGTCTTCTATAAAAACGTTTTTCGGTCTCGCTTGCATTCTTCAGTCCATTAGGGTTATCTTCGTACTGACTTTTAATTGATGGGCGACCATTAATACCAAAGAGATACTCTTGCCATAATTCCTGAACCGTTTGAACTGATCTACTCATAGTAAATGGTGATAGCAGACTGGTTTGGATAGAGGTTTGAACGTTTATATTTTGGGAAGATGAAGATGTAGTTGCAAAGAACGAGTTTGTAGTAGAAGTTGTAAGTTGTTCATTTGGCAAAGTCGTCAATGAAGTGCTTGCTTCGTTTGTATTTGCCAATCCGGAGTTCAAAGACTGGTTTTCACGTACGATAGACTGTAATATAGGCGGAAAAAGGAGTGGACTGCTAAGACCGTTTTGTATTAACGCAATTCCATTCAAGACGGCTTGAATTTGCTCGTTATTTTGTCTTTGGCTTTTATTTACTTCTTCAATGCGTGAAACCATATCATGTGACGTTTGTTGTTGTGCTTGAGCTTGAGTTTGTAGAATGTCATGTAAAATTGGCAAAGCTTGAGCAATACGATCATCATATTTGTTTTCATTGGCAATCGTTCTAGTAATCGCTTGTTCCTCAAAGGATAAGAACTCTTCGTCTTTGAAAAGAGGATGATTGAAAATGTAAAGCGATGGAAACCATTTGCGAACGTGTACGATATCTTGTAGAAATGATTCACGGAGATGACCCATTGTTTGAAGAAACATTCGACTAGTAAGCTCTTCTTCCGGACGTACGCTAGAATCGAGAATTCCTATCCTTTGAGAGTCAGCAAAAGCACAAAATAGCAAAATTTAGCAAAATTTAGCACAAACTAGCAAGAGTGGGAATCAAATCGCGATTTAAGCTCACCATTTCTCAATTTCAGGAAAAACTTTGCGTAGAAGGGTTGCAGGAGGCGAAATATCCCTCGAAAGAAAGAAACTATTGCCCTCAATAGAAAAACCAGCAAGAGCTCGCACCGGTCGACGAGGAATATGCGTTAAATAATGATTTTCTAGAACCGAATGTGCCCAATGTCCGGCTCGTGCAATTTCCTCTGAGGTTGCACCCCCTTGTTCGGCTAAACGAGCACCAAAACGTCTATTTATATGTGTTTTTTGATATGTGTGAACGTTGGCGGCGTGTAGCGCATCACTAACTGCTCTTCGTTGAGTATCGTATGAAATCGGTTTTGTTCGTAATTTACCATCACATAATAGTGGTAAATCGTACCATTTAGCTCTTGCTGACATATCTGGAAATCCTGCGGGTGAAGAGCCACAATAAAAGCTAGAATTTAGTATATATCGAGTACTTGGGTTTAAATACGGCTTACCGTGCAAATAAGTAAAGACTTAAGTGGAAGACAGGACATATTCTTAAATCTTTGTTTCTGATAAACGCAGTGTACTGAGGTTTACCGGAGGAGTTTGTTTTGCTTGATTGTATGACCAATACAACGAATAAACAAGACGTCGGGCCTTCTCTGCTAGAAATTTCAGAGGATATGTCCGATAAGAGTAAACTGCGCTGGTTATCACCTCTTAACATGCCAAATATTCCTAATGATTGCGCTAAAGCATCTCTGATACCCTCTTCGTTATTTCGAGCCATGTAATGCTCAAAAGAACGTTTTAATTGCGTTGTACTTTCATAGCCATCATAATAAAGCTCTACTTATCAATGTTGACCGTTTTATAAGCAAAATATGTGCACTTACGTTTTCCTTTGTCGGCGAACATTAATCTCTTTCTACGTTGGTCAAATTTGATTAATATGTTCACAATTGTCATAACGTAGATGCTACGGGGCGAAGAAGTCTTGTTGATTCCTCTTTTTGATTGTTGTTGCCAGAGATTAACAAGAGCAGCGACCCATGATAGAATAGTGCTAGGACTAATTGTACAATTTAAAATAACGTCTAAAGCTTTGCCCATTAGCTATTTACTGTTCTAGAATCAGTGATATTTACCTGATTTGGCTGTATTTTTGGATGAAGACGGAACTGTTTTCAAAAGCATGTCGATTTCTGCTTGAGTTTGATGTAAAATTCGTTTTTCATCATCATTTGAGACTTCCTCGAGGCGTTCCTCTACCGTGAGTTCTTCTGGTTCAATTTCCGCTTCATCTAGCATGTTGTTGTCGATTTCAGCAGCAGAAAGTACATGTTTTTGTTTTTT